TTTCTGGAGGTTGGACAACAACAGAGATCCTACCTGCCGGCATTGCAGCCTGGCCCCAGAGACCCTAGAACACCTGTTGACTGAATGTCCCACACTAGATCTCCCGGGGGAAGCCAGGGTGGTTGGAGGATCCTTTGTGAGGGAAATGTTGTATGGCTCAGCTCAACAGATGGAGTTGATAGCCAATTTACTAGCCGGGGTCATAAGAGAGTAATCTCAGACCTTCACCAGAATATGTGCGATAGATAGTTTAACTTCCCCCTTGAAAAAAGATAAACTGATTTTAGGGGGTTAGGGTGTGGGGCGGAAAATTTGTTAGAATGTGATCTCTTGGGCAACGAGTCTAAGGGCCAAGTCTCAGTTCGATAAGTTGACGAGAAGTGGGTCAATTAGCAGTCTGAACATTTTGCTACCCAGCCAATCAGACAACCACAAACAAAATTGAAGTTAATATAAATGATTTAAAGATAGGCTCATGTCTCATGGTTAAATGACACAGAGTCATAGGTATAGAAACATACGTATTTCATATTTGACATAGTACATAGTGTCATAGGTATAGAAACATACGTATTTGATATTTGACATAGTACATAGTGTCAAAGGTATAGAAACATACGTATTTGATATTTGACATGGTACATAGTGTCATAGGTATAGAAACATACGTATTTGATATTTGACATGGTACATAGTGTCAAAGGTATAGAAACATAGATATTTGATATTTGACATGGTACATAGTGTCACATGTATAGAAACATACGTATTTGATATTTGACATAGTACATAGTGTCATAGGTATAGAAACATACGTATTTGATATTTGACATAGTACATAGTGTCATAAGTATAAAAACATACGTATTTCATATTTGACATGGTACATAGTGTCAAAGGTATAGAAACATACGTATTTGATATTTGACATGGTACATAGTGTCAAAGGTATAGAAACATACGTATTTGATATTTGACATGGTACATAGTGTCAAGGGTATAGAAACATACGTATTCGATATTTGAAATGGTACATAGTGTCAAAGGTATAGAAACATACGTATTTGATATTTGACATGGTACATAGTGTCATAGGTATATACCATACGTATTTGAAATTTGACATGGTACATAGTGTCATAGGTATAGAAACATACGTATTTGATATTTGACATAGTACATAGTGTCATAGGTATAGAAACATACGTATTTGATATTTGACATGGTACATAGTGTCATAGGTATAGAAACATACGCATTTGATATTTGACATAGTACATAGTGTCATAGAAGATATATTTGTATGGATATTTGTTTTGTTGTTTTTTTAGCATCATTGTTTCAACAACATAAATTTTAAAATGTGTCCTCAAAAAATTTCTTGTCCATAAAATCTGTGGATATTTAGAATATTTATCAGTAAATTGTATCTTTTGGAGTTGGTAACCCTGTGTGTCACCTCTCCACTTCCTGTGAGAGTTTCGGTACGGTCCGCATTCCCGTGGTAAAGCCACTGCCTTGCAACTAACCTCATTGTTCTATTCCAGGTCGGTCCACTCCCAACCGAACAACAGGTCTCCTAGCTTGAGCGAATTCCGGCCATCCACTCTGTGTGGGCGGGAACGGTCATCCACCATCCACGAGACCCGACCCTCCAGGTGGGGGAGAGCCAGCACGCTGTCTCCCAACAACGCCAGGTTTTACCGCAACGTTGACATCAAGCCGCCGGTGAAGACAGGGGATCTCAAACTTGGTTTGCCTGCCAGTTTCTATGTGGTGGATGAAGATGCGGTTTTATGACAACAAACTCCGACTATGGATGTGAATGTGCATTTAAGTGCTTGGGTTTAACTCACGTTTGGTTCAAACAAAAGTCTTCACGGAGTGCTCAGGTTTAACCATGGAATGCCTAAAAAAAAAAAAAAAAAAAAAAAAAAAAAAAAAAAAAAAAAAAAAAAAAAAAAAAAAAAAAAAAAAAAAAAAAAAAAAAAAAAAAACAAAAAAAAAAGTCTTCACAAAGTACGAACCTTTCAAAAGTCTTCAAAGAGAATGGGCCTAACTATCGAACCTTTCAAAAGTCTTCAAAGAGAATGGGCCTAACTATCGAACCTTTCAAAAGTCTTCAAAGAGAATGGGCCTAACTATCGAACCTTACAAAAGTCTTCAAAGGGGATAACATGTCGTTATTGGATATATTTACTTCCCGTATTTTATATTGGCACATGTTTTAGCAGAGTTTAAGAGTAAAGAATAATGCGGTCAGTCTGTGCTTAGCTCTGAAATAAAAGAGAGCAAATGGAGATCAAGAAATGTTATTACTTTATGTCATTCAGGGAAAAGATTTAACTCCCTTAATATTCCCTTGTGAACCAGAGCTTCGTAATCAACCAGTGCCCTCAACAGATCTTATATTAGTACTTTAATATCGAGCTATCGAGGGGGGGGGGGGGCTGAATTTTTGACAAAACATGCATAGAAGTAACTTTATAAGAATCCGAATAGTGAAAAAATGTGTTGTCATCGACAACGATTTCAATGATTGTGCGCCAAGTTTCAGCTCGATAGGTCGACGGGAAGTGGTTCAAGTCAATAAGCTGTCCGCAGATTTTGCCAGAGAAAAAAAAGCAAAGTTAATAAAATTTAAAGAATTTTAAAAGTGTATGTTTTTTTTCTTCTTTATCGCTCATACTTAACGTACTTAAGGGCCATATAAAGAAGGTTCTTAAATGAAGTTTAATTGGCTATAAATTTTCATATTCCAGTTATAGTGTCTCAATGGACATTTCTGAACTAAAATATGGAGACAACTAAGAGGCTATTAATGTACACATGAGATTTAATCTGAGATCATCCTGGTAAGTTAAACTTTGTTTCAGTTTGTTGAAATTTGGCCAAGCTTCCTTCATTTTTGAAAAGACATTTGTGAACACTGAAGTTGCTGCGAAATGGTTTAGATTAGATCAGTTGTGTATATATTCATAAATCATGTGCCAAAAATAGATGTATTTTTTTAAAATTATAAATTCTTGTATTCAAATGATGTTTTAACCATTTCAAGGGCAATTTTCTACTAGATCGCATGGTGTCTCCATTATATTTAGACTAAGAAAATGTCCTTTTTTAACAAAAAAAAATTTTTTTCCACACTCCGTCACACCTGCTATTTTTTAAATGTATTTTTTTTGTTGCATAAAATATAATTATAGAAAATGACAGCTTAATTATTTTTAATTTTAAAAATACTCCAGTTAAAGAGATCTATTTATATTTAGGCTGAACAGCTAACAACTATAGTTATAGCCAAAGTCCAAAAACTATAGTTTCTAAATTTAATTACTATTATTTTTAAAGCCCAATAAAATTGTTGCTAGAGCTGAACACTATTGTTTTTATGGTCAAAAATTATTTATCAAATTAGTTATAGATATAATTTATTATTTGTAAATTACCGTTTCTGGGGATTTAAGCATGTCATTGCATTATTCATTTCCTTAATTTGATCTGACCAGGATTTAGTTAGGGAACTAAAAATTTGGAATGTAAAGTTTCACCATTTAATTGAATTTTAATAAATATACAGAAATTAAGTTCGAGTGCAATTAAATTCTCTAATAATAATTAAATAAGTTGTCTTTGTTTAATTACTAAGACTTGCATTTCCAATGGTTCCATCCGCTGATTTAGTCATTTCTGTTCCTAACATTACTAACAATGTTATTCACCTGTTACCGTTGCTTGCTATCGAATACTTGTACAGCCTTTACAAATAAATAAATAACATCTCTATCTTTTGAGTCCTACTTTTTTTTGGGCCACCCAAATCTTTTGTAAATATGAGGGCTATGTAAAATAAGTTGCCTGTTATAAATATGATTTTCTTTTTATATGTGATTTCTATGTGAATATGTCTGTTGTCAGTTGTAAATGCGAGATCTTTGTAAAATATGGTGCCTATTGTAATATATAATTTCTATGTGGATATGATGAATATTGAAAATACAGCGTCTATTTTAAATGATTCTCTTTTAAATGTGATCTCTATAGGGTGAATAAAGATGTGTGGTGTCTATTGTAAGCATCTACTGCTAATGTCAATATGATTTTATATAAACTGTGAGTTAAACATAAGATTATTATTAAGAAGTTTGTCTATTATTTTTGAATAGAGTGTTTTTTGTTGTGTGTGAGAAATGTAAGTTTTCATAAAGAGCTGACAGTATTACTGGTTATCTTATAATCTTGCTTATATATAAAAAAGTCTCTTTCATATTCACAATGTTTCCACTTAAATGGTTTTCTTTTATTTGTGTCTAGAATTAACCAAGAAATGGAGTATAATATGGTAAATGTCACAGTAAATTCCATTTTTATGCCATTTAAAGTGCCATCTTATAAAGCTTTTAATGTTGATAAAACATGAATTGTACATCTAAGATATTATCTCTTAGTTGGGGTCCAGTCCTATCTCTTAGATGGGGTCCAGTCCTATCTCTTAGTTGGGAACCAGTCCTATCTCTGGCCTTGAGTCATACTAACGCCATTATAAAAACAATCTATGGAAGTGGAAGGCTCATTTCAGTTAGAAATGATACAGACTACAGAGGCTTGTTAAACATTAAGATTAAAAAATAGATATCTATACATTAAAATTTTAATGGTGGTTGGTTTGTCTTTTCTTTGTTATTGTATTTCATTATTCTGTTGGTCATTTTTTATGATTAAATATGCTGTGGTCTGTTGGGTGACTTAAGTCCTTTCTTTTGTTATAATATTCACTTTTCAACACAATTATGGGATAACACTCTGATCAAAATGACATATAATAAATTGGCACTCTCTTTTGGGGTGTCACGTGGATACACCTTTTTTTGCACATTTTTTAATCTCCTCAGTTTAGTGATAACCTTGACTTCAATCTCTAGAATGAAAACACATGTAAACACAAGAGTCACAGTTTTGAAAGCCTTCTTAATTATAATAATAATAATAATAATTTTTTTATTCAGCAGATGAAGGTTTTTTGAATAACTTCATATAAAAGACAAATTGTCAAAATGAAACAAATTGAACAAGACTGACACAAATAATGAATGGCATAACCAAGAGAGGGTCAATAAACTAGATCATCATGGCATCTTCTTACACTTACATTCCACTGAGGAAACACTTGTAAAAACAGGATTCATCAACCTATTCAATATACCTTTCAAACATTATTCTATCCATAAATGTACATAACAGAAATAACAGAAAGATCTCATACCTAAACAATCTTGCTAATGTGGTGTGATCAACACTCCTAGAACAAACCATAAACAGTGTAAGCAATTTGCATATTAAGTAAATTTAAAGAGAGTTATAAAAATTTCACAAAATCCAATTACAGAAATGAGGAAGATTGTTTAAAATGCCAAATTATATTAAAATTGGCTGTTTATAAAGAAAATATTTAAATTAGTTATTTCTTTATACTTTATTCTGAAAAACACTGTTGGAAAAGCAAATTTTATTTTAAACGAAACAAAAATTCGCACTTGGATTATTTTTTCATTGTTGTCACAAGTAATGTGCAAATTTCGGGTACAAATTTCTGAGCTGACCCAAACGTTTTCTTTCTTGATCTGTAAAGTCATTTGTTAAAATTGCAACTGATTGTTACAACTTCAAAATATCTTGATTGAGAACAAGAGAACAAATGATTTCTAAATTTACTAACAAAACAGATTGAAAGAATCCCTGAGATAAGATAATGGTAAAATATAGCTCTATAATATTAACATTTGGAGTCAAGCATTCAAAAATACAATTGATACTTTTTAAATATTAATAATTATTTTTTTTCCCCTAAGACTTCCAAGACATTTTATGACAATAACGTCCTGATTATTAAGCACAGGTTTATATTTTATTGTAGCGAAATTTTTAAAATAATTTTATTAATAGCTATTATCTTTCCATGTTATCTTTCCATGGAGTTGCTGCACCAACTAATCCCTGACATATTCTTCTCACACTTTCCAATCAACACAGTTATTTATGATGTCAAATCTTAAAGAACGTAATTACAATCTTTGACATATTACCCAGTCAAATAATTGACCTTGTTTTTTTAGTTAAGATTCAGGACTGTAATGTATTTATGATTGCCTAACCTGTTTGCATAACTCAGGGCAATATGGAATAAATGCTTTAAAAAAAAAATAAAATGATATAAAACAAACCAAAGAATGCACAACATATATCTTTTGTATTTACATTGGTCAGCAAATTCAATTGTCTCTGTTCATTAATTACAAAATGCAATTAAATAAATTAGAGAGATATTTTTACCACAATTCTATTTAAATAGAAATTAACAGTATACAAGCAGTTCTTTTGAAAGCAAATAGAGAAAATAAAGTTGACTAATAGTTGCCAAAATTGTGTGCCCAATTGTCATCTCTGTACAATCAAATATAATTATAATAACTTGTATAAGAGAGAAAAAAGAGAGCAATGTCAACACAATGTGTAGTGTGGCTGAGCTTGTTTAAGTTAAAACTTGTGATCTGAGCCATGGAGTTATTCCCATAGCTTGTGTAAATACAGCTGACATGACAAACTCTTCCATAACAACTAATAAGTGTTACTATATTAACTAGATCTTTATACTTTATGACTGTATTGTAAGGTAAGTTAAATTAACAGACAAGGTAAATAGACAGCAGAAACATCTGGTGGACCCTGTTGCTGCAGGTCAAATATCACACACAAGACTTTACATATACAACACTCTTTTTTCCCATTCAGTTTTATAAATAAAGACACAAAATCAAATAATTTTTTTATCTTCATTTCTTATGGGACTTTAGTGTGATGATGAAGTCAGCTATATATAATATTTACAACAAAATGTGGATTTATATACATTGATGGAATGAGTGAAGGAAGAAGGAATGAAACAAAGGGCCTACCATGGAGGACTAAGAGTGATTCATTGGAGACACTTTTGACAAATAAATGCACCTATCTGGTACATGTTGCAAACAAAGGCCATGGCTGGTATAACAAATAAGTAGTGCTGTACTTTTGCTAAATTTATTTCCTCATCTGGGATCTAGGGGGATTTTTAAAATATAATTTTATTTCTTGAAGATTGAAAATGATTTATCATCTGACTAGATTGAGCTTTTGACAAAGCTTATGGAAAAATATAATGATTTATAGAAGAAAGTAATGTTGTATGTTGAGATTGTTCATTACAATAATTCATTTATGATACTATACAAGTTGTGATATGAAATAACCAATATGCTCTTGATGTATTCTTGTTTTCTCTATTCTTGTGTCCTTCTAAGATTATCATCCATGTGCAAAATGGTCAAAAAAAAAGCTGATGTGATTAAAAGTTAAAGTAGTTTAAATTACTTTTGAAACAATCATCGGACTTGTCAACCAAGTGGGCACAAACATACAAAGCTTTTTTTAAATTTAATAAACTAGGAAAATATTTGTCTTTTTTTCCGGTGGGGAGGGGGGTGTGTGTGTGTTAATTTAGCTTCAACTACTATAAGTAAAAACAGTTTCAGACCATCTTCATTCATAAGCTGAGTAGCTGGACAATATTCTGTTTCAATATTAACTAGTTCTATAGCGAAATTAGTCTTAGTTATTTCAATGATTTAGAAGGAAAAAAATGGTAATTTAATTTTAGGATCTAAAAAATCTACTATGCATAATATTCATATTCTCTTTGTGTACAATGTTATTAACAGGAAACAATTTTTACAAAGTCGGAATTTTAAATGGCGTTATTTACAATTTAAGATTAAGATAGCTTGATGGTTTTTTTTAATTTCCCCAAAGTACAAAACATATTTTATACATAAAGAAAGATAAGAGTTGAAACTAGCAGAATAAAAAATCTATTTGAAGGCCATTATAAAAAATACAAATCTTTATCAGCATTCCACAGTAATTTACATCAAAACATGATATTTTACAGATTTGTACATCAGTACTGGGATGTCATCACAGAGCTTTTTTTCTATTTTTACATGCATTATAAAACATCAACTGGTGACTTACACACTAATAAGCATAGAAAACGGTTTTAAAAAATAACTAATTTTTATCTAAAATCTTAAAATACCTTTTCCCAAAAGTTGGCATTTACCATGAAGGTACCCAGGGCAGCCTGGTCTTTGAATTATAACTCAAGCAAACACTAGGCAAAAAGGTCTAACCTGTGAAGCGGACCTTTTTAGAAAATTAACCAGTAAGTAACAAGTTAAAACAAAGATGGACGGATTCAACTTTGTTTAATTACTGATTAATCAATGATATAACAATATAGTGGCATTAGTTCAATGCCTATGTTATCATTAATACATTATCACTAAAATCATATTTTCAACATACACAGATGCACACTCAAGACTCCTAAGTTCTCACAAAATAGGCTGATACTTTAAAAGTAGGAAATTTCTCTCAAGAACAATCACAAGGTAAACTCAAATAAAACATTTTAAGCTTAATTAATTAGTTTATGGAAGGTAAAAATATCTGTAATTTACATGGATTTTAAAATTATACTTAAAATTGATCTATGGATCAATTATAAATCTGGCTACTGGGTGGTAATGAGTGGAAACTAAACATTGAAAATGCAAAATCTCTTAAACTCGCATGCAATTTTAAATTATTAGGTCTGTACGTTTTTTCCTCAGTAAAATCAAATACCTTCCCATGTAAATCTATATAATAGAAATGAACATACGATGACCTTAAAACAGTTGAAATAGATTAGCACTATGATTAATTAGAGTGTCATAAATGATGTAAATCTCAGTGTTAACCTACTCTGTTTTGACCCTTTTAGCTGCTGTGACATCTGCTGCTCCAGTTGATGATACTGGCATGACTAGGATTGTATGTGTTTTGCTGGAGTTGGGGTTGGCTGTTGTAGCAGTTCGTACAGCAAGGGTTGTTGGTAATCCCCCTTGAGTTGGTGTACTCACTGTATGGACAGGTGTGGCACCTGCCACTGAAGTCCCAGACAAAACCACCAATCCTCCAGCGGCAGTGAGACCGTTAGCTGTAGGTCTTACCGTGATGGTGGGAGTTCCAACCTGGCCAATGTTTCCTGAAGCTGGACGAACAGTAACAGCAGTCTGACCAACTGAACCGGGTGCATTAGAGGTTACAAGCATAAGAGTAGTCGGTGTGGGAGTTGCACTCTGAGCTGTGACCATGGTGACTCGTTGAACAACTTGAGGTTGAGATGACAGCATTGAGGGCTGGGAAGAGTTGGAGGATTCATCATCATCATCCATATCCATGGTTCCAAGATTGACTGCACTGCTCAAATCATGGAACTGTTTTGGACAATAAATTATTTTTTAAGGTAAAGCCATATTTCTTATAACAGTTTTTTTAATGTTGAAACACAAGCAAAAAAGTGAACTTTAATAATTCTTTTAAACATCCTTACCTGTCGGACCTCTCCCATGACAGCTATTGGCGTTTGACCAGTGGCACTCGCTACTTTGTGCTCAACCAAGTAGAACATAAATTCATCATATAGCAGGCGAATGAGGTGAAAAGAGCCGAAACTCGCTGCGCTGCGCAAGGTAAGGTCTCTGATTACCATTGAGCTGTTGCCAAGAAACATAAAAGATAATATCATTTCATTTTTTGAAAATCAGAAAATATAGGTCTGCATTTACCGCCATGGACATAGGTGCTTGTTTGTTTATTAGGGCAAAAAAATAAGTCAAAATATGCTAAATGGCTTTTATGAAAATGTATCCTTTCATCCTTACGTCTAAATCTTTTTTTTAATAGTAATGTTTCTACAAAAAGTGTAAACAAAAAAAGATGTGTCACCTATAAAAAGACCACTTCAGCAAAAACTGCCGAGCTGCCTTAGGAAAATTGTCATTTCCCTCATGTGGTTTGAGCACTTGATTGACTACTCCTTCCAGCCACTGAGCCCACTGCTCCAGTGAGTTACCCTGTTTAAGAGTTGTCTTGAAATCCTGCTCAAGCTGCTGCACCAATAAATCTTCACACTGACACACCCATGATGCTTGTTCCTGAATAAATTAGTTTAATACAAAAATGTCACGTCTGGAATCTTGATCCACACATTAAGTGTGAATACAATGTTTAATAAACCTAGTAGTTTGTAAAATAGTAACTGCGACAAGATTTTAACCAATTACACCTTTTCTTTCTGCAACTATTAATAAGCCAATTCTGATTTCAATTTTACACTGAAATATTTCATGCTGCATCAATCTAAAAACATATTTAATGATTTCGTTATCTAACTTATCGATAAAAGTAATTCTCGTAACCTGTACATTTGTGAAATCAACACGGTTGAGATCAGTTAACATTTGGTTGATCTGTGAAGTGTTTTGTAACACAGCACGGGCTGCCTGGGCAAGATGATTGAGTGAGGTGTAGCGACGTAGTGTTTGAGCAAAGGCACATACAGCCCCAAGCTAGAAAAAAAATTAAGGTTTTAAGTAGCATAGACAAAATTATCTAATTCTTCATTTCAATCTTAAGTTAAAAATGAATACCAAGTAGAGAAAAATATTTCTAAAATAAATTTTTAATAATGTTTTTTATTTGGGGCAATTTTTTTTAGCTACTATCAGTAGCTTAAAATATTGTTATAATATTGGGAATTTCTTTTATCACTTGTTTCATACAAAATATAACTTCATCCAGGCAAAGAAGAAAATTGAATCCTTTTCTAAACCTTAAACAAAAATTGGGAAGAAAATTTAAGTAAGTACTCTTACCTTTGTCTTTATCATCTCCTCAGGTACATTTTGCATAGCATTTTTTAGCCATCCTTCTAAACTTTTTGCAAAGTTACGGATTGCTTGAGTGAGTGAACCTAAAGTGAAAATGCAGTTTTTAAACTAAATGTGCCAGAGATATACAATGCTAACAAAGTATATATATCAATGATGCATTTTATATTACAATGGTGAAATACTTCAAAAGCCACTTGATGTACCGCAGGCTAATCACTAGTTAAAACATTTGATTTTTAAAATTCTATTTAGTTAAGTTTTATTGAACAACTTCATGATAACAATTGCATAAATTCATTCTAATAACATTATTTATTGAAATGTACATACTTGGTATTGGCCGTAAAACATCTGGAATTAAGACCTCAACCAATGCCTGATAGAATGCATAATCAGATCTTCTAACCCATGTCATCAGGGGCTCATAGCGACACAATGTGTACAGTTTTTCTTTAGGAATTCTCTTCTCCATCTTTTCAAATGGATCTAGACTGCTAAAGAATTAAGATAGCAAATTTTATAATCAGTTGTCAATACAATCAGACCTGCCAAGAAAATAATCGGGGGGGGGGTGGTAATGCATGCGCGGTGAGGGTGTGGTCCCAGGTGTGGAGAGGGGCGTTGGTTTGAGATCTACAAACTGATGCACAAGCCTTTTTTAGTAAATAAAGAAATATAAAGTTACCACCTTTGTCTTAGAAAAGTCCACAGATCACAACAGAACATGAGAAAACCATTAATGGAAATGTTTATATACAGATAAATACAAAACAGAATATCCGCTTATATTTAAATATGTACACAGTTTTTCAGCATATCCCTAGTGGTCTTTTTGCACTTGTCCAACAGCTCTTTGGACAACTGAAGATTAGCATTGTAATTGATTTTAGCTACAAGCAAGTTAGAAAGAGTATCAACTTCATGCTTGCCCTTATTTGATTTTAATAATTCTTCACAATCTTTGAGTCCAGAAACATTTCTTTGACTCTGGCATTAAAGCAATCGGAGTTGGCTAGAGAAATATTCCTTCAATAAGAAAGGTGGTAAATCAAACTACTGATCTGATGACTGAATCGTCCGATTCCTTAGCAAAGAAATTAGACATGGAAGTTGTCGTTTCACTGCAGTTTTATGTGGTTTTTTTTTGTGTCAAAATATGTTTATATATATCATTGTACCTACCCACCACTTTTAATAGATTTATCCATTTAATTAAGATAAGATTTAACAAACAAAAAAAAGTCACAAAACAACTGAATCGCTTTGATAAAAACAAGGCAGCGCCTACATGACCAGACAAATAGTGTGGGAGATATTCATCCGGCAGGCATGTCACGCTTTATTTAACATTGTCACTTTTTAACCATTTTTCATTATATATACCAGCAATGGTTCTAGTATTTCTTTTGTAGAATTGAACATATTTCTTTCTTTTAATGTAAATGTCCAGACTATCTTGAATTTGTTGAAATGAAGTACTGTAAACTTTGATCGACTATTGGCGAAATGCACCCCTTCCTGTCGTTCCTGATTTTTTAATTTTTTTTTTTTGACGCTTTTGGATGATGGGTGAAAAATTATAATATTGGGGAAAATCAGGATTTTAAAGGGTTTATCAGGTCAGAATGAGGGGTAAAAAAATCCATATAATTCCGATAAAATCGGAATGGTTGGTAGGTCTGTACAACACATAATATCTAAGCTAGGATGAAAGACATTTACAATATGTTATCAGCAACACCCTTCCTCATACGTTTTTATTTTATGAAATATCAGTTTTAAACAATTATTTAATAATACTCACGGTGATTCTGGTGCAGGATTTCTCCAGAATGTTTGCCAGAGATTCTCGATAAGGTTGAAATGCAAATTGACAACAACATCAACAACAGCCTGAAATCATAATATTATTTTGTATAGTTTTAAAAGCTTGTAATATAAAATATTGATAAAATTGAAACAGTGCTTTCAGATCAAATGTTCTCAACCTTTTTAAAATGGAGGGATCCTAAACAAATTGTGGCAACCATCCTTTCTTTTTCACCACTCATTTAAATTAAAATGTTTACAGAGGCTGTTCTACATTTTTAGCGAGTGGCGCTTTGAGTAGGCTCCACCAAAAGTGCAATCACAAAGAAATACTGGCAGATGCTAAATGACGGACTAAATGGCTGCATTTTGCAATATTATTGTTTTTGTAATTTTCTCTTTACCATTCTAAATTAGACAATTTCACCAAAGAAACTGAGGAATGAGATAATCTTTCATTCTTCATCAGGTACTTTTTATTAAAACTCATTCAAGAGCAGAAGCAATTAAGTAGAGAACTCATAGTAAAAATGTGTTTATTAACAGGTAGAAGTCAACAGTTTAAGATTAGGCATAACAAATCAAATGTGATTTTTATGCCCTTAAATTTTCAGTGGTTCATAACTTTTAAAATAATAAAGATCATTCATTCTTTCAGTCCTCATGGACAAACTGGTGTTTCAGGCAACAGCAAGGAACACCACTTCTGGCTTCTGTAAAAACTATAATCCAATTAAAACCATTGTTACAGATCTTTAAAGCCTGATCATTGTAAGTTACAATGTTTTTGTAAAGTTTTATAATTAACATTACTTTTTTTTTTTTTTTTTTTACAATGTAAATTTTTAAAAAAAAAAAGCAGGAACATCAAAATAACTATATCTGAGCTATGACATCTGTAAACAGAGTGCATGGGGAATGTTGGGTGTTGTATCTTACTAAAATAAATATAAAAATGGTAAAATAATACCTCAGCATGCTCCCTGTACATTTTTTCAAAAGCTCGAATATCTTCCACACCAATACCATCTGGAAATGGGACTAAACTGACATCAACATTTCCAAATGATGGAAGAGCATGTGAGGCATCTCCAAGAAACTGTGTGTGTTGCTGCTGTTGAGAATGTGAGGCATCTGATTGACCACCACCCTGTGTACCAGCCTGTCCACTGTCACCATCTGAGCCTTCTTGCTTCTGACTAGTTAATCTGAAGAAATGCACACACACAAACAACAAATGTATTGATCATGAGAACAAACAACCAAGCAATAATTATCTTGAAGCAATCAATTATATACATTATTATAAAAGAATACAAACAAACCTTTTTTCTTTAATCTTGTATGAGTAAATCACAATAGCTTTACAAAATCAGATAACATAGCTCTTAGAAACATTTTAAGATTATGCATAAAATTATTTTATTATTTGAGCAGTTCAGTTGTTACTTAATTTTATTTTTAAATATAGAACATAGGCTGTTACTCTAATTATTTGTACCAAAATGTTTCATTCTATAAAAGTACAATAAAAAATCAGTTCCAACTCTATCCATGAAATCTCTCAGATTTAAAAAAAAAATTAAATCTTGGAAAAGCAATCAGACCATACAAAGCTAATATTGATAACAGGTAAATTCAAAATATATAAAAAGATCCCTTTGAATGCTGGTTAATTATTCACAAGATACAATGTTAGAAATTTTGGAAGTGTTATTATTTTATTGTCTTTGAAAATTTGATATTTGATTCCTTAATAAAGCTAGATGAAATACAGCAGATTCTCATATCAAATGAAAACATATAAACTCAATGAAAAGTGTTGAATTTCATTTCATTGATTTTCAAATAAGTTAAAATCAAAAGCAATATTAAAGAACTTGATTCTTTTCTAACAAAAAATTTCAGAGAAATTAGTTGCTTTTTCCTTTGCAAGATTACAAATAGAATGAGGAAAAATGATTATCAAGATAATGAATATTTTAAGATATTTGTTTCTTTAAAATAGGTCAATTCAATTTTTTTAAAGCAAAAAACAAATGAGAGAACCTGCTGTCAATTTGATGCAAAAATGCCACTCACTTTTTGCTTGTGTACATTGGCTGCTGTCTCAGAGCCATTGTCTGATCATCTGTAAACTGATTTAGGGAGGAGTTGGCCCTGATACGAATGCCATAGTAATGGTATTTAGAGTTGCCCCTGAGGGAAAGAAATTTTTTTTAAATTAATTTTGTTTTATTTATATGTTACAGCTATGACCTTTAACTTTATTTTTTCCTAATGTATAAAAAATGTCTTAAATTAATTAACAGTGAATTCCTGACCTTGTTCCAAGTCGCCTTGTTCTAAGTCCTAGAAACACAGATCTGATAAGTTTGCCAAACGATGCTGGGTTCATTGGATCTAATCCTTGCTCTTGGCAATGCCTTAAGTAATGGTAGTAGAGTGTGCTGCGAGGTAAACTGACTCCTTCTGCTGTCTCGTAGTTGTCAATTAACCACTGAACCTAAAGAAAATCATTTAATGTATTAATTATTTAAAATGATCAAAGATGAGAACTAGCATTGTAAAGAAAATATGACACATTTTTATGGTTATTTCTTTTTAAAAGTCAGACCAGTTGTTCTTTATTTTATTATTTTAAAGCAGTGTTTGTGGTGCAGTGATATATGACAATCCAAACTTCTTGTTTTTAAATAAAATTTTAAATAAATTATATCAATTTAGTTAAACAGAAATGAGAAAAAAATATTAAAACACCCACACAGAAAACAAATATTAATAAGAGCAACTAAAAAAAAAAAAATTAATATACCCATAAGTATGTAAATTTAAAATTCATTTACCGGTATTATAAATAATATTAACCTTATAAAGACAATCTAGCACAAGTTATTTAAGTGATGAATGTTACTCAAATGTTCACACCAAAAAGTGAAGTTGGTTTGTTGGGTTTCTAAGTTACAAAAAATAAGTCAAAGAAAGTTACTTGGTGATTGAAATTCAAAGCTATAATAGAATTTAAATTTAAAAAAAAAAAAAAGTTGTCAGGAAACATTAAGGCCCGTTCACACCTTTCAAAGCGTGGTTGCTGACTGCTTTTCAAAAATGTTTTTCTAAAGGTAAAAATTTGTTCTAACCATTTAAGCTGCAGGGAAATATTCTATCCCCCAAATATTAATATGTATATTTCCTTTCCAAATTGGTAAAAGAAAAAAAAACAACATTAAACTTCAGAAACTTATAACCAAACAAATCTTGAATTTCTGAATTAAAAAAATAGTGTAACATGCAGAATGGAGATGAAGCAATACAGAAAAAAGGATACAGTATACTAAAATATTCAAAATTGGGATGAAACAAAAACATTTTGAAAGTATAGAAGTAAGTTTACGCATATATAACAATCATATAACTTGTGATATGGTACTTTGAATTTCAAACACTTTTGAACCACACACAAAATTATTATGTTAATGGTTTTTCTGTTGTTCCCAATGTTATTAAAAAAAATACTGAAATTTTGGATCTTTAGTGCAAATTCTAATCATTACATGTTTTAACATAATGTGTAACAAATATCTTTACAAAAGCAAAGTTAAACATTTCTAATCAGAATTTTCTTAACTTAATTCCTGACCAAACTGCTTCCAGTTTCTATTAATATTTCTTATTGGCATAAAAAAACATAGTTGAAATAAGTTGGTCTCCTAAATTTAACAGCTCAGCCAATCCAATGGAGGTAAGCAAAACGGCAAATTATTTTAAACACAACAGCATTCACAATATCAGTATGAAGGAGCTGAACCTCCAATGGATCAGGACCAGAGCAAATGGATAGCCAACTAACCAACCACACTTTGGCGGGCGTGAAGGAGCCTTACCTCTTTAGTATGCAAATTGCTCAGCTCTGCCAGAGGGGTGTGGTTCTTTAAAAAGGAAGAGAAAACCGAAAATAGGGAAATAATAGCTGTGGGTTATTTCTAAGCAGTGTATACTTTTCTTCAGAACCTAAGTTTAAAACTACCTTGCTGAAAAAATTAAAAGTTTAGCTATTTATCAGGGTTCTTAACAGAAATTTTATCAACTTAACTGATGTAAGGAAATAAAATTACCATAAACATTGTCTTATTTTTAAGTTTAAACTAATCAATAATTTATCCTTCATTAAAATGACCATTCTACAACTTCCTAAATGGAAAGGTGTTTAGTGCTGTTCTATAAATAACAAGAAGTGTTTAGTACTCTTCATTTCATTCAGCAAGATAGCTTTGGGACCACATCATGTTAGCTTAATGTTTTTGTATTAAAAAAAACTTCAGCAACACTATTTAATTCATTTTTCATATTTTAATAAAGTATGTTTACAAATTATCCTTTTTCCCCCCATTTTTTGTGTGTGGAAATATCAGTTGTAACTTCATTTAGCAATGTATATCAGCATTTAAATCTATAAACAAAAACTAATCTAATAATACTCTATCACATCTATATTAAACAAAATTAGTAGTTAAATAATCAATTACAAAGAAAGCAAAATGATGGAAACTGTTAATTACTTAGTTTTTTGCCAATATTTTTAATGTTATAGATATTTTATGAAATCAAAAAAAAAATCTATTTGAAACTAAAAAAAAGATAAAGAGTGGAACAAGCTGTGCCAATTATATATGAATATATAATAAAATGTGTTCTAAGAAAGATTAGTTATAATGTTGATTTATCAAATTAGTTGACATACAAGATTTTCACCTTGTTAACTGGCATGAATTGAAAAAATTCAAAGATAACAAACTTTTACAAGCCCTAATCTAAAGAAAATATATTTTTGATAAGAAAAATAATTTTAAACTATATGTAAATATTAATAAAAAAATTGAACAATTTAACAAATAATTCTTAAAAATTAACACTTTATAAACAATGTCAAGAACACACTTCAATGGGCAAAGTTCTAGTGGTTTGCTGCCATCATAGAAATAGCAAAAATTCTAAAAAATACTTACTGTCACTGGTGAAGCCCTAGTTGTGTGAGTCAAGGGAGCTCCATCACCATCTACAGTGCCACTTTGAATGAGGAAAGTACCTCCTCCAGGTTGTTGTATGATCTGACCTTGCAGTGCTTGTACTGATGTTCCAACAGGCATTAGACTTTGAGCCACCTGTTGAAAGAATGGATTCTTGACAGGAAGGGAAAATAATCAGTGAGTGTTTTCATTACATACATACATGGATGGAACAGATCATGGATATGCATGGAAATGACTTTTGTTTAAATGGATTATAGATTATGATGAATGCATTATTAAAATTACATCAATCATAATTTTACACACAAGAAAAACTTTTATTCCACACTTATTTTGTCATAATTAAATCCCACATTTAACAATATAATAAATGCAAAATTACAATGCTACAATAAAATATACATTTTTCTCTACAACCCAAATAAAAGATTAATTGAGAGGCAAAATGATTTTGTGAATCGCGGTGAATAAAGTAAATATACTTCAATGTCATGAAATCTATTTTTGTTATAAATTATTCTTTAGAGGACTATGGTACCTAAGGCATTAAATAAATAAAATAAATGTTTTGTGATTACATTATACATAAATTTTAAAGCCAGTGTCAAATAAATACCTGTGTTCCTTGGGGAGTCTGGTAATATGTCCCCGACACGTTGGTGTACATTGTTCCTTGAGTATAGTCTGCATAGTTATGCCTTTAAAAAATAATAAAGCAAGCATTGTGAGCTTAAAATTAAGTTATTTAGTTTATGAAAAACATATTTTTTAGAAAGAAAGATTTTAATTTATCCATGGATTATGATGATATGCTTAATCCTTAAACATTCTAGATTCTTTTTAACATATGAAAAGCCCATTGTTTGCATGAGGTCAAATAACAATTTATTTTATATTAACAATATTTATTGTTACATTTACATTTTTTTCATTTAATAGAATACTTTTATAATGCTTAACCTAATTCAGCTAATTATTCATTATAGATAAATTAGTTTTATATCTTTATACTAAAAATATATATAAATAACTAAATCAAATGGCTTACAAAACTGTTGTGTATTTAATTAACTCATTCCTGACGGTTTTGGCCAAATGCATCATTTTGGGGATCAGAAGAATTTGCCAAAATGCCTCCCAGCGCATAATGATACACCTCTCTCATTTTTAATTTAAAATAGCAACGAAATCTCATATCTCACTAGACTTCAAGTGATGCTGTGATTCTGCATGATTTCAATTTAGAAACCAAATTTTTCTCATTCATTCTATGTATGCTTTAGTAAGGTGCGTCTATATCTAGCATGTGTTCATCTGAGGAGCTAAAAATCTATTTTTTGGTCATTTGCTTGCTATTATATAAATGTTTTAATTAAACATTATTAATTTCTGGATGCATTTATGCTTAATTCATTAATATTAAATAATATTTTGAAGCTTAAAAGTAAAGAAATATTTTACAAAAGTAAAACAATTAAAAAATGGAATTGCTTCCTTTTCTCATGTATATAAATTAAGTACAGAAGTAGCAATGCCATCAGGAATGAGTTAACGACAAAAGTTTGAGAGCTTAGACACAATGGATAAATATGTATTATACTTTTAAAGCTGTTTTCTATTGTTTTAAAATTAAATGTATATAGTTACAATGGGATGCAGTTAAAATTAAACAACATATGTTAAAAAATAATAATAATAGCATTTAAGCATTTTGCTAACAATTGTGAGTTGTTTACAAAATGATCATTGAAATATGTACCTGAAATAACCAGGTAATTAAAAGACATTCAATTCTTTTTTCATAGGTCATTATTAACTAATGTGCTTTGATTGCTATTAAAAGACATTAAATCAATATTATAGAAAAGCATGCAGTTAAAATCTAAGGAGGAAAATAGCTTTGTGAAATTAGTAATAAAGCTATTCTGTGAGATTAACACTAAAACTTAATTTTAACACTAAACTTTATAGCTTTTCAAAATTAGTTTTAAAAATTCAGGCATCTTTTTAAAAAATATGTCAACGACAAAAAAATATAAAAAAATATGGCAGCTTTTTTAAAAAATACTGACAACCACAATTAATTCACTAACTAAAAATCTAATGTTACATCTGGCATTACATTGTTTTAGGGTAAAGGGGAGAGGAAAAAGAAAGTACCTAGCCTTCAGCACCAGTTCTTTAGGCCTATAAAAAAATATGGTGCGCAATTATTGAAGTATAAATATTATGCAAAATTCCTGATATACTGCAAGAAATTTCAAGTTGGTTAATGGTCTGAACTGTAAAGCAGTTACAAAAATACTTTTAAGATAGTACTACTTCTTTTACAAAGCAAATTTTAGGGTTTTTAAGGATAAATGATAAACATTTGTATTATGCATGTGGTTATAAATGTGTGATTGAATTATGTAGAATATTTTTTAAATACCTTCAATAAAAAAAGGAAGCATTTTTTTTTTTTTGGAATATCATAAATTTAATATCTTACATCCTTAAATTTAATTTTTATTCTAAAAAAATGTTCATAGTGTCTTTGCTTACATTTTAAAGTTATCAATGCATTAGCAAAATTATAATAGTATTTATCAACTATAACTAGCATGTCCTTGTCCCATAATCAGATTATTACAAGATTAGTCTTATAAGTTGTATAATGCTCTCTACTACAAACGGTGATTTATATTTCACTTAAAGGGTGGAGAGACAAATTTTATCATTATATTTTGACTTGGACCACTTTACTTCATAGAAATACAACATCCAACATGGCTTTGCCCATACAAATAAAGAAAATGATTATTTGCAATGGCAGAGAAAAATAAAATACAGTGATTCTAACCAAAAATACAAAACATGTATTTTAATTTTTCCTTAATTTAAAAAAATATATATATATATATATATTTTTAGCAGTTTTACTTGAATGATAAATAATAAAAAAACACACTTAAGTGCTATTTTCTGTGGACTCAGTGATTTATTCATGATCAACTATATTTAAATTTTTCAGCAATCAATAACGTAGCTTTTATTTCATATTATTTTAAAATGTGTGTTGTCAAAAATATTTAATACTTCTATTAACATAGCAAGATCTACATTGGTTTGAGATTAACTTTCATTTTATTTTTTGAAGTGGCATTTTGAAATGCATTTTTTTAATATTATTTCTCATGAGGAAATTTTGAGAAAGTCCAATAAGAATAAATAAAAATTTAGCAGATAATTAAGCTCATGTTGATTAAAAAAGTTACTTTTAAACAGTGCTTTCATGAATATATGATTTAAGAAAAGTTAATCAGTAAATATTTCCAATAAACCACATACAGGCTCACAGAAATATTTAGCCATTTCAAGTGTGAAAAAAAAATAATTATTATTTTTTATGTTTAAATCTCAGAGTAATTATTATTATTTTCTTTTTTAATAAAAACATACAAAACAATCTTGTTACTTTAAAAATTATGGAAAATAGAAGTTTTAGTTAACAAAAGAGAAAAGTCACACGTCAAGAATTTTTAAAAAAAAGAGCAACGCCAAGTGGATCTAAGAGATAGGATTTATCACACACAAAATGTGAAAATGCTTATCTCTTCAATCTAATCCTACTGTGGTCCGTACATTTGGCCATTAGCGTAGATGCCAGGGTCTGAACCCTCTACGTACTGTAGGTGAGTTGGATACACTGTCTGTCCCCCTTGCTGGATCGTTATTGTCTCCTGTCCTCCTTGTTCTCCAAGTTGGTGGTCAACTGCTGATGCTGAAATGAATTTACAATTTTCTTAAAAATCATATGGTATACACAATAGAGATGATTGAATAAATAATGACTTTAAAATTGTAGTAATTAATTTTAAGACACAAACCCTTTATATAACTTATGACTTGTTTTTAATTAGACAAAACTGAATATAACAATTAAAAATAAACTTCTGTTTACTCTGGTTAAAACCTTTAAAAAAATTAATAACATGTGGTCAGGATAATTTATTAAGTGTCTAATATTAAAGCATGCAATTAATAATTTAACTTTTAGCTATAATAATGGACCCCAAATAGAGCACTTTTTAATTCCATTATGTTTAGTTAATTTTTATTTCAAATTATAATTTCATTAGGGTCATCAATTTACCATGAACAGTTTTGTTTATTTACTATGTAGTAGCATTTTCAATCTTTTCATACTTTTGTTTAATTTATATTCAAGCATACTGTTATTTGTATGTACCCAAAAAATAAAAAAAGAAATGTTAAATGCACTCCTACTTATAAATTACTCTTACTAGTAACAATAAACTGTTGGCCACTGTGAGCTTGGGCTGGCTGAATTATGGTTGTTTTTTGCCCCTGCTGGACTCCACCTTGGGCATTGGCACCAGATGTCTTAACAACTGTCCCATTCTGATTATTAAAAAAAAATTATATATTAATTATATATATATATATATATATATATATATATATATATATGAAACCCTCAAAAGAATATAAGTGTTTTTTTTTTATAAATGTATCAAGAGAATGCTAGATTTTGTGACTCTTATAAATTAAAGTAAAATTGTTATGTTTATTTGTCTTATGTTATAAAACACCAAGACACTTGATAGAATATTTAAATGCATTCCCTTCAAGTAATTCTAAAGACTTACCAAAATTTTTATTGTAATATAGTATCATACCAAATGAACTATCACAAAGGTTTAATTAATATAAAGCTCTAATTGATTACTAGGCTACTAAAGTGAAATAATACACCGCTAATTACTTAGTCAAAAGTAATTTGATTAAATGAATACACAACACCTCTATTGAAATACAAATCAATAGATTTTGAAAAATAATTTAGAATTTAAGGCTTTGAGCATGACAAGTTAGACAAGAACATTTTACACAGGAACTCAATGGTCCTTATATAACGGAACAAACTGATTTCTATAAAAGCAATAGTAAATAAAACAAGTAAGTAACTTATTGTGGCGTGTCTAAAATACCAAGCTGCAAGACTTGCAAACTGACTTTCTATTATTTGCATAACTCTATTTCAATCAAAATTATCTTAGTAATTCAAATGACTATAAATTCTTCTTTATTTAATTGATTAACAACCCAAAAAGACTAAAATACTATATAAAAAAAACACATTATTTATTTTACTACAACAGATGTGTTATGTTAAAGTTAAAGAGTCGAAATCTATAAGGACTATGTAAAATGTTCACACCAAAAATATATGTGCCACACCACCCACTTACCCCTTCTGAAGTTAGATCTAGACCAAAAGCCTGTTGTTTATACACATAAATCTTGTAATAGTGGGAATAGCAGTATTTAGCCCTTAAAACTTAAAATAGCTAAATAATTTCTTAATTTTAAAATATTCAAAAATATTCAGGTGTCGGGAAAATAGATAATGGTGTATTATAGATCCCTTAAACCAGCTGTGGCCAACCCACGGGCCTCATCAAATATTGTGGGCCCCATCATGATTAAATTTTTTGTTTTTTATTTGATTCACAAAGAATTCGATTTTTAAAAGAAAATTGAGAGAAATAATATGATATAACATTTGTTAATTTTTTTTTTTAAATTTGTAATTTCATTTTGTGAATTAGGAATAAATAAACATTTTGATATATATCCACAACGTAATTATAATCAAACAAAACCATTTCCTTAACATCACTTTAGAGAGGTGCATTGAAACTCCAATAAATTATGTTCTAATATACATATTTCAATTTAAGATATTTGACATTTTAAGATAATTTTTTTGTTTATTCCAGGATATCAATTGTGCCAACCACAAAAGGCTTTGGCACTGAATCACAGGTAAAAGGAAATTAGACCACTTCTCATGTCATTCTTACAACCATCCAAGATTGACACAAGCATTATATTGGAGATATTTTCATCAATGAAACTTTAAAAAAGAAACATGCACTTGTGACTAATTTAACAATGACAGGCTGTGGATGCCGATTATCACCTAAAATAATTGTACAGTTAGCAGTCATTTACGGACTTACCTAAAATTGAATATAATTATCTTTATATTAAAAATTTGCCTAATGTGGGAAAACAAAGCTATTTTTCATACTCTTTCAGTTCATCAAGAGATGATTCTGACATTCTGAACTTCTCTTTCTCATACTTTTAATACCAAACATGTTTTGCCAGGAAAAATAAAAAAAGTTATGAAAGCCAAGCAACAAAATAAAACCTGGACTGATTCTAATGGAAACTGACCTATGCCTGGCTATAACACTATTACTCTTGGAACAGGATTTGTAGTGAAGAAAGAAGCTGTCAATGCAATCATAATTGTTAAACCAGAGAATTAAAAATTGTGCTTTTTGCGTTTGTGAGGAAAAATGTTTAGTATACCATTTATAAATGTTGATGCTCCCACCGAAGATACAGAAGGAGAGATAAAAGATCCCATTATGAGATTGTGGAAAATATCTATGATGAGGCACCACAACATGATATTAAAATAGTGATTGTAGATGTTATTGGGTGGGTGGTCTAAACTGAGCAAATCTCAAGTTGGTGGTCTCGAGTTCAAATCCAGCCAGAGCTCTGTCAAGCAAAAACACCACCAGCACCCCGGGTGGATGGGACTCGTTAACCTTAGATGGCAACTCATCTAAGAGAAGGAAACTCTGAAATCAAACCTGGAGATGGAGTCCCGAAAGGCGGATAACATTGGTACAATGAAACATTCCGACAACTCGTGCGACGTCACTGGTGCCAAGCTGTATCATCCAATGATGTTCCCTTGGGTTATCCAGCGACGTGGAGAGAGGCAATTTGCTGTTGGAAACCAGCTTATAATCTTTGAAGAATAATCCCAGGCCATGTGGATTTCGTCCTCCAAAGCCCACTCCCTCGTCACATTGTGACGGACGGATCCCAGCAAAAGAAGTTATGGCCAAAATAGGGAAAGAATAAGTGTTTATGTCAACTATGGGCAAGGAGAGTCTGCACGAAGAATCCAATAACAATGAGATCCGACTCATTCATTGCTTGAGGAAAAGGGATGACGGTTAGCAGCACCCAGTTTCCACATAAAAATATACACAAAGTTACTTGGAACTCACTAGATGGAATCACTCACAAAAAAACTGACCATGTTCTAATCTATCGGAGGCATGGATAAAACATACTAGACTAAGAACCTATCAAGGAGCAGATGCAGACTATGACCATCTACTAGTGAGGACTAAATTTAAGCAGAGAATAAGCATAATTCACAATAGCTGAAATCAATTCACAATGGCTGAAAAACTATATGTTTACCAAAACCTTACCAAAGACCCACTAACCGCAAAAGCTTACCAAAATGAAGTAGAGGCACAACTAGAGACCTCACAGGAGGAAATAACTGTTATAAACGAACAGTGGGATAGGACAAAAAATGCCATGAAAAGACCAGCAGAAAAAGTAGTAGGATTTCAGCAAACTAACAGTGGAGTAAAGTGGTTTGATAATGAATGCAGAGAGACTGTCGAAGAAAAGAGCAAGGCATGAATGACCATTATACAAAGGGAAACCAGAACGTAGAGACCGACCGAAAGTGATTTTCTGATTTCGGCCGAAACCGAAAAAAGGCCGAAAGTTAAAATTGAATTTTGGCCGAAACCGAAAATGAAATATTAAGATATTTTGAAATTCGTTCCAGCATACATTCTGCATACATCGAAAATGATGTGGGAAAGTATAAATATTTACATTCTTTTTTATAAAAAATGAGATAATCGTGAATATTAATAAATAACCATATAATATAAGGGTCTTAAACTCGCGGCCCGCGAACCATTTGTGACCCCCAAGACAATATTTTGTGGCCCGCTACATGACAGAAAAGTTTATTGTTAATGCGCCGGCGTTTCCCCCATTCTCATATCTATAACGTGACTATCCGCGACGGTTTCAGTCGAATCTCACCGACTAGTCTAATTCTGATTTTTTTTTTTTTAATGTTTCTATATATTTTTGTATGCCAGGTCTCTGGCAACAGTGAGTAGTGCTTGAGAATCCTTAATGATTTTATTGTTATTTATAAAGGTTGAGCAGATTGTAACAGTTGTAATCGCTTTTTTGTGGATTACTTGATGCGACCCACTCTCATTCAGACACTACCTCCTGTGCCCCCCTCCCCCTCCCCCCCCCATGATTTTAGTTTGAGTACCTTGATCTAATGAATACTTTGGATTTTACCATTTTAATATAAAAGTAATTTAAATTGCTTTACAATTTTTTTTAAAAAATTAGTAAGGTACTGTAGGAGAAAATTTTGCAAAAATGGGGGGGGGAGGAGGGGAAATTAATGCAAAATATTATTTTTTTAAACAGGGTCTCTAAAAAATGTGGCTCTAACAGATCACTTAATTTGTTTTTAAAGATCGTTTAGTTGGTTGTTATTGATCGGTTAGTTTGCTCTTAAAGATCGGTGAGTTTGATCATAAAGATCGCTTAGTTTGTTGTTAATGATCGTTTAGTTTGTTGTTAAAGATCGTTTAGTTTGTTGTTAAAGATCGTTGAGTTTGTTGTTAAAGATCGTTTAGTTTGTTGTTAAAGATCGTTTAGTTTGTCGTTAAAGATCGTTGAGTTTGTTGTTAAAGATCGTTTAGTTTGTTCTTAAAGATCGCTTAGTTTGTTGTTGAAGATCTTTTAGTTTGTTCATAAAGATCGCTTAGTTTGTTGCAAAGATCACTTAGTTCTTTCATAAAGATCGCTAGTTTGTTTTTAAAGAGAATTAATTTTGGTCCTTAAGATCGATTAATTTGTTCTTAGAAATCTTTTAGTTTGTTCCTGAAGAACATTTAGTTTTCTGTTAAAGATCGCTTAGTTTATTCTTATAAATCATTTAGTTTACTATTAAAGATCATTCGTTTTGTTCTTAAAGATCATTTAGTTCGGTCTTAAAAATCGTTTAGTTTGCTCTATTAGATCGTTTAGTTTGTTATTAAAGATCGCTTAGATTGTTCTTAAAGATGGCTTAGTTTGTTTTAAAGATCGTTTAGTTTGTTCTTAAATTCCCTTAGTTTGTTGTTAAATATCGTATAGTTTGTTCTCAAAGATCGCTTCATTTGGTCGCTTAGTTTGTTGTTAAATATCGCCATCGCTGAGTATTAAAATGACCGAAAACCTGAATCACTTTCGGCCGGACGGCCGAAAGTCTAAGTCGATTTCGGCCGAAACCGAAGAAAAACCGAAAGTTAACTTTTCTCTTTCGGCCGAAACCGAAATTAAGCCGAAAGTTAACTTCAGTTTCGGCCGAAACCGAAACTAAGCCGAAAGTGATAAAATGGCCACATTCGGCGCCGAAACCAAAGCCGAAGCCGAAATTCGGTCGGTCTCTAATTCATTGTTGTGTCTTCAAGGCAATTAGAAAATGTGGC